GAGCGGGGCCGGGGGGGCAGACTGGTACAGCTCTGGGCCCATTTCCAGCCCTGTCTCCTGGGAGATCCTGCCTGCCCCTGGCTCTGGAGCTTGCCTTGACCCAGGCTCCAAGGATGCTGGGGTGCTGGGAGATGCCTCTAGGTTGCAGCAGCTTTGCTTTCATGCCTGCAGTTTGCCCTGTGGCCTCTGATCCACCCGGGGCATCTCCAAGCATTGCAGCTTCGCCCCATCCCGGCTTGCACCTATGCTCTGAGCTGGCCGCATTGCAGGAAGGAGGATGCAGATTAAGGTCATGCTGGGTCTGTGTGGACACCATCAGGGTTTGACCCCAGAGACCTGCCTATGGGGCTAATGGCAAAGACAGGCCTGGGTGGGCAAGACCTGGCGGTCCCCGTGTGGCTTGCTGCAGGGACTTCCCTGCTGCAGGGATGTGACCTTCCCAGGCTTTGGCAGGGCATCAAGCCTGTAACCCCTGCTCCAACCCCACTGGCCTGGTCCACCCAGCTCAGGGGGATGCTCTGGCACGTGACCAGGACCGCGGGGCCTGCGACGCTCAGTGGAAGAATACAGCCCAGGCCAGACCAGCATCTGGTTACACAACTCAGCGGCACCGCCCTCCCACCGTTATGAAACGCAAGGCAGCTGCCTCCAATTTCAGTTAAAAAAAATGAAAAAAACCCCGAAACAGCAGCTCGGGCACTGTGCGTCATGGAGCTGCGGATGCTTCCCATCGCTTCATGCTAGCTGGGATTAACCCTTGGAGCAAATGCGTGTCCATGATCGGGCCGTGCCGGGTAGGGCAGGCATTTCCTATGCAGCTGTGATTGAGCTGTCCTAGGGTTTCCTCCCCTGCGTGACCAGGGTAGGTGACGCGTGAATAGACGCCTTGGCTTGATGAAGCCCTTGTCACTGTTTCATGCTTCCTGGGCCCTTTCTCCCTGAAGCATCTCGGGGCAAAGCGTGGGGGGAGGGGGGCCAGGCAGGAGTATGGCTGCGGACTGGAGCCACCTGGACACATGGCAGGTTTATCCGATTTGGGGTGCTTTAGACAGAGAGGGGTAAGGGAGATCTTGGATGATGGCCATTGACTCACCTGAGCAGCCATCCCACGCTGCCTTGTCCCCCCATGTCCATGCATGTGTTCATCCACCCCATGCTCATCCCCCCCCCCCCACCAGGGATTGCAAAGACTCATTAAGCTCTGACTCCCCCAGTTCGTCCCTCATTTTGTTTCCTGCTCTTGTCCAGGCTGTTCCACTCCCTCCCCTGCAGATACACCCCATGGCCAGTCGGTGCCTCTCGCACCCACCGGGGCAGTGGCTGCATCCGCCCATTCTTCTCTGCCCAGAATTGGGCCCGAGGGGAGGGCAGGACATGGGGCCCAGGGCTCCCCAGCCCCTTGTAGCCAATGCCTGCCAGGACGTTTGGGCGCTCCTCCGCTCATTGGCCTTGCTTTAATTTCCAGAGCCGGAGGGGGTGTCCCCAGTCATGTACGCTGACTATAAATACTGAGGGTTTTTGCTCAGCCGCTTGTCCGGCCAGCATCTGTCAGCCTATTTCCTGCCTCGCTGCCTTGGTAAGTGGTTTGTTTTATTGAGATGCTTGGGGCTTCAGCTGCTCCAGCTGCCGGTGGTTTGTGCATGTGGGGCTGGGGACACGGTCAGCCCTGCGGTTTGGGAGAAGGGGGTGCTGCCTTTGCTGCAGCAGATGTAGATGATCCCGAGCTGGGGTGGCGAAGGCGGGCATGGGTTCCCCACTTAGCCTGGGTCTCAGAGCTGCCCTCTGCATCCAGGCAGTTTTGGGGTTAGTGGAGGTCTGGGGCTCTGCTCTGACACAGCCAGGGCTGCAAAGGGCCTCCCCGGACCCACGCAAAGGGTGATGCCTCCTCTGGAGTCTGGGCTCATGCAGCAGCCTGGCTGGGGTCTGCAGTACTTGCGCCCCCCGTTGTATTCCCGTTGTGCCCCCAGCCCCCAGGCTGTCATTGCCTGCCCCCCACAGCTGTTCTTCTGCTAAGCCCCCAGCCCTCAGGCTGTCATTGCTCAGTCCCTCCAGCTGTGCTCCTGCTAAGCCTCCAGCCCTCAGGCTGTCATTGCTCGGTCCCTCCAGCTGTGCTCCTGCTAAGCCTCCAGCCCCCGGGCTGTCATTGCAGTTGGCGCTGGCTGCCAACGCCCATCTGTGCTGCCCACATGACCTCAGGGGAGGCTTGGGAGCGGGTAGGAAACGGTGACACATCCTCCTGCCTTGGTGCAATTAGCAGGTGGGGGCCCTCCCTCTGGGGATGCTGGGCAGGGCCAGGCTATAGGCACTTAGCACTTGTCCCATGGGCCTAGGTGAAGGGTCTGTGACCGGAGGGCTTGGCGGGGATGCTGGGAGAGCTGGGCACGCCACAAAAGACAGGACTCGGGTACCTTGCCTGTGCTCCTCCTATGCAAAGGCACTCAAATATATTCAAATCTGCTTCCATCCCTGCACCCTTAACCCCTGGGCCAGCTGGTCCCAGCTTGGTAGGGAGCCCTCTGCTTCGGGCCGTGCTCTAAGCAGCCCCCTCCCCACATCTCTAGCTCCCAGATCTGCCATGGCGCATCCCCTGGAGCAGGCACTGCAAGTGATTGTCTCCACCTTCCACAAGTACTCGGGGAAGGAAGGCGACAAGTTGAAGCTCAACAAGGCCGAGCTCAAGGACCTGATGCTGAAGGAGCTGCCCAGCTTCATCAGTGTGAGTGGGGGGACCGGGACCCCCAGGCACTGGGGGCGGTGCTGGGACCTGGGCACGGGAGCCCTGTCTGCCCCTGTGAAGGGGTCCAGTGGCCTCTTGCAGAGGGGGCTCGTTCCCTGCTCTGGGATTTATTCTCAGATAAATCTATTCTGCCCCTTTGGAGAGGGGAGGGGGGCAGGAGGTGCCCATGTCCTGTCCCAAACAGTTCTGCCTGGGGCGGGTACACGCGGATGATGGGGTGGAGGGAGGTGGGTGATGCCCCGAGCTGCAGGAGGAGTGCAGAGCATTTCTGGGCCAGGCTGAACCCTGCTCCCACCTCCTTCCCCCTGGCAGAAAAAGACGGATGATGCCAGCTTCCAGAAGATGCTGAGCAACCTGGATAGCAACCGCGACAACGAGGTGGACTTCCAGGAGTATGCTACCTTCCTGGCCTGCGCTGCCATGATGTGCAACGACAACTTTGAGGGCTGCCCCGACAAGATGCCACGGAGGAAGTGATCGCCCTGGGCCTGGGCTGTCCTGCGTGGGTCCCTCCTGGGACCCCCGCTGCATTGCTCACCACTGCCTCGAGAGCCCGTGCAATAAAGTCACTTCCAGAGTCCCGTGTGTGTCTTTGACTGTGTAACTGGTTCCCAGACTGTGTTGCACATGGAGTCGTGGGGGTGGGTAAAGGTCCCTGTGGGGTCTTCAAGGGTTTCTGCCAGCTTTGCCCAAAAGAGCAGGGGTCCGATCCAGGCACAGGGAAAAGTGCAGCAGACCGGGGTCGGGGGCTTTGCTCCTTCCAACTCCAGGACAGCAGCCCTCAACTGCTGGCAGCAAGGGGAGCTCCTCCTAGGCTCTACCCCGCTCCAGGGGGATCCATCTTGGCAGGTGACCCCATAAGTCCTTTCCTACCTGGGTGAGTTTATTGCAGAGCCAGAGCCTGCTGCAGCCCCTTCCCCCCAGCTCAGTGACCATGGGGTCCCAAGGCCAGGGTGAGGGGCTGGGCCGCAGCACTCCAGGGCAGCTGGCTGTGTGGCCCTGGGGTCACCCACAGGGAGGCAGCAGTGCCTGTGGTCCAACTCCACCGGATGGAGCCATGGCTGCTGCATGACGGGGCTTGGACAGTTCCAGCAGCCCCCCACAGCAAACCCTTGGCTCCTGCCGGGCACCTGTCCTGGGCCCTTGCTGCCCACCCCCTGCCTCTGGCTCTGCATCTCCCCAGCTGGGCATTGCTAAGCAACAGGGCTCTGCCCCTCTGGAGCATCCTGCTTGCTGAAATCCCTGGTGCCAGGAGCTGGCACTGCCATGGAGACAGCAATGTCCTTGGGAACATCCTCTACATCATGCCCCAGCTGCCCCCTTCCCTCCCATCCCCTCTGCATGGGGCCAGATTCTGCTCTGGATTTGCTTTGGGGGAGCTGTGAGCTGAGGGGTAACCCCAGGCTGCCCCGGGCAGTGGGTGCAGGGGCCATCTGGCTCCAAGGCCGTGCCCTGACTGCACCCCACAAGCATGGGCAGGCGGTGACCCTGGGGAGCCAGGATCCTGGCAACTGCATCCACTTTCCATTGGTGCCTGAGCCAGGAGGGTATAAGAGGAGCTGCCTGCCCTGCCCTGGACTCTCTGTACCCGTGATCTCCTCTTTGGTAGGTTGGGGAGTTTGATGCCATCAGCTGGGCTGGTGAGATGGGGGGATAGGCTGGCTTGGGGACTTCTCTGTCCTGCCCTCTCCAGACGTGCAGCAGCTGCTGGCTCTAATGCTTCTGCAAGGGGCTGCTGGTCCAGCAGGATGGTAACCGCATGACCCAGGGGGTCCCGGGCAGATGGGGCAGCTGTGCCTTTCCTACCCCCCCACCTATTCAGAGTCCCCAGTGCCCAGTGGTGCCTGGGCCTGGGGCATGGGGTTAGTTCCACCTCCCCCTGCACCCTGGAGGCTTCTTTCCTGTGTTCCCAGCCTTGCAGGGCAGGGGGGGAGGGTGAGCCCCCGTTCTTTTGTCCCACTGAGCTGGGGCAAAGGCTGTTACCGGGAGAAGCCCAGGTGTAAAAAGGCACCTAATCCCTCCTAAGCCTTTTTGAAAGGCCTCCTCAATAGGACCCACCTGGTCTGGGTGTGAATGAGTCAGGTGCCCCAGGGCAGTGGAGCCACACCCTGCCTGGCGGTTTGCGGGCATCTGCTGTTTGCTCACCACGTTGCTAACAGTGAAGGACCCACGTGGTGGATTTCAGGGGCATGGGCCTGGGCTTTGATGAGCTGGGCCAGGAGAGCTGGTGCCCGTTGCTGTAAGCACCCACCAAGGCCAAAGGCTGCGGTGCAAGGGGCTGCACACACAATGGCTGTGCTGGAGGGGGTGGGGGGCCTGGCCCTGCGAAACCTCTACTGCTGTCCAGAGATTGGGTGGAAGGCCGGGAGCTGAGCTCAATCCCCTGCCCTGCCACTGCCCCCTCAATGACCTGGGCCATGTCCCTGGGTCTCGCTAGGCTTTATTCCCCACAACCCGCATCCTGCTGCTCTTCCTGAGCTGAGCAGCCCCAAGGGTCTTCACCCCGGTGTCGCGCTTCTGCTCCCCGCGTCCCCTTCTCCCTTGCAGGTGGCATGGAGACCCCCCTGGAGAAAGCCCTGGCCACCCTGGTCCTCACCTTCCACAAGTACTCGGGGAAAGAGGGTGACAAGTTCACCTTGAGCCGGGGGGAGCTGAAGGCACTGGTGAAGAACGAGCTGGGGCTGGGCCAGGTGAGAGCTGGGTGAGGGGCTGCGGCGGGGGTGCCCCTTTCTGTCCGGGATCGGGGCCTTCCAACGCTGCAGGGTGAAGTCCTCCCTGCTATACCCACCATACCCCCCTGGGTTTCCCTGTCCCTGGCATGAGCCCAGGGGCTGCGTGTGATCGGCTGGGCCCCACTCTGCAGAAAATGAAGGAGCGCAACATTGACGAGCTGATGAAGACCCTGGACAAGAACAGCGATGACGAGATCGACTTCAAGGAGTACTCGGCTTTCTTGTCCGCCCTGTGCATGGCTTACAACGACTTCTTCCAGCAGGATGGCAAGTAGCAGAGCCCCCCACGCCCAGGTCCCTTGGCCTGGGCTGCAGCGCAGCTGCCTTCAATAAAGAGCTTTCCGCCTGCTGCTCGCCTGAGGTTGTTTTTTCCACTCCGGTCCCTTTCCAGCGGGGTTCTGGCTCCGAGCCATGGGGAGGGACACAGAGGAAACCCCCGTGCAGGGGAGGGGCAGATAGGGCAGGGGGTGATGCCCCCGCCCCACATGAGAGGATGCATGGCGGGGGCGGGGGCGGGGGGGGAAGTGAGACAGCCCCTGCAAAGACTCCTGGGGCCCTGCTGCTACAGGGGGGGGCAGGGATCTGTGGCAGCACTAGCCTGTGGCCTGTGAAGGGTGTCACCATGGGGACCCACCTCCACCCTGCCCCAGAGCCCAGTTGGCACGGGCCGGTGTGTGGTGGGTGGCTGGGTGTGGTGGGGCAGGGTCCATGGCACTGGGTAGTGTCCGGGGCAGTAGGGGCAGGGCTTGTGTAGAGGGGCAGGGCTTCCCCAGCATCCTGGGAGGTGTGTGTGTGGGGGGGCACCGAGCCCCATCTATAAAGGCTGCCTGCTGCCTGGAGCCTCATCCCACGCTCTCCTCTGCTCTCCTCTCCTCGCTTCTCTCCGGTTCATTTGGTAAGTTGGTGCTTTCCCTTTCCTCCAGACTGCTGCCATTGCCCCGCCAGCTGTGGCTGCACCCTCTTCCAGCTGTGCCCATGCCCCACGCCCTCCCTGGCAGCAGTTCTGGAGCTGGCTCGAGGGACCATATCTGGACAGAGAGGCCAGGACTCCCTTTCTCTACCTCTGACCTCATTGCTCCTGCCCCAAAGGACCCCGTCCTCCCCCCAGCTCTCTCCAGCTGGGTTTGCAGGGTCCCCTAGCAGTCCCCAATACCTGCAGGAGCTTTGTACCTGGGTTTCCCAGGCACAGACAGTGCTTCTGGGGGCAGCAGGGTCCCAAAAACCTGGGGGGGGACCTGGGCGATGTGGGGGGACTGCTATGCCCCGGTGGGGTGTGGCTCCTTGCACAACAGCCATGCTGGCAGCTGTCCGGGTAGGTCTCGGCTGACACCCTGTGGCAGCGGGCGAGAAGGCACTGGCTCCGACTGTCTCTCAACGTGGAGCTACAGGGTTCAGGGTTTGGTCCCCACCCTGCCCTGTGCTTCATGCCTGGGCCCCACTAAGCCTGAGAGCAACCAGGGGGGTGAGCGGTGGGTCTGCCTTTCCCGCTCCCCAGTGCCTCCACCCTGCTTCGCTCCCTTCCCTGGGGTCCTCAAAGGCCTGCGGCCAGTCAGGGTGCCCCGGTTTGGGATCCATGTGGCACTCCCTGGATCTCTGCTCAGAGCCAGGCCCTACCCCTTCTCTCCTGTCCTTTCCCCGTGCCCATCCCCAAGGTGTCTTGGAGCCCCCACCCCGCTTTTCCTGGGAGCATCAAGGTTGCACAGCAGACCCTGGATATCCCTGGATCAGCCATGCCAGAGAGCCATGGGCACCTGTGCGGTCTCCCTGTCCTTGCTCCGTCCCATGTCCAGCCCCCCCTGGCCCCTGCTGCGGCTCACAGGCATCTCTGCCCCCACCCAGATCCACCCCGCAACCATGTCGTGCACCCTGGACCAGGCCATCGGGACCTTGGTGCATGTCTTCCACAAGTACTCAGGGAAGGAAGGCGATAAGAACACACTGAGCAAGCAGGAGCTGAAGGAACTCGTCCAGAAGGAGCTCAGCCTTGGCCCGGTGAGTGGGGCTGGGGGCAGCAGAGTTTGGTAGCATCCCAGAGGCCAAAGCCTGGCACCTGCAGAGGCCCAGTCACCCGGGCCCAGATCAGCCCCCCTGGTGCTAAGCGCAGATGGCCCTGGCCTGGAGGAGGGCAGAGATGGGAGAGTGGCGAGGGGACTTGCCCAAGGTCACCTAGGAAGTCAGTAGCAGAGCTGGGAAGGAACCCTGCTTTCCCAAGGCTCCAGCCAACAGCTTGACATCACACCCGTGGGGGGCAGTAGGATTTGGGGATTTGGTAGTGTCCCAACTGCCCCTAGCTCATGGCCCAGCTGGAGAATCTACCCAGCAGAGACTCCCCCTGGGGTTATCAGTGTCTGGCTCAGGAAGTTGTGTGTGCAACCGTGTGCATGCATGTATGTGCATGCCTGTCTGAATGTGTGCATGAGGGTGCAAGGCCAGAACAGCGGGCCCACTCCCCATTTGGCGGCGGGCTGCCACACCTATTCATGATGCAGAGGACAGCAATGCAAAGAATCCGCGTGGTGACTAACGGCCTGGCTTAGCAACCCTAGGACGTGCACAGCCCTGCTCCAGTGCAGAACCCAGTGAGTGCCGCCAGAGGGCTCAGGCAGGCAAGATTCTTCGGGTAGATGTGATATTTGTTATTAGACCAACTAAATAGTTGGAAAAAAGTTCTTTGTAAGCTTTTTGGGCAAGAGAGCTCACACACCCTTTAAAGGGAGAGTCCCCTCATTCCTATACTCCGCGGGGGCATGGTGGGGAGCCTGGGTTGGATGTTTTGGGTTTCTTTTGAAGCCCAGCTTCTTAGCTGCTCCCATGCAGAGTATAGCAATGAGGGCCCTATCCTTTTAAAGGGGGTGTGAGCCCCTTAGCGGCGCTCACCGGGTTCTGCATTTTGGAGGGTGAGGCCAGCCAATGCCTGTTGAGGGTCACACGCTGAACATGTTAACACACCTAATGCTTCCTCCCTGCTCCAGAAACTGAAGGATGCTGAGATCACCAAGCTCATGGCCACCCTGGATCACAACAAGGACCAGGAGGTGAACTTCCAGGAGTACGTCACCTTCTTGGCAGCCATGGCCATGGTCTACCATGAAGAGCTGACCAAGCACAAATGCTAACCATAGCTGGGGATGGGGCAACCTGGAGGGGCCTGCCCTGGGCACCAAGCTGGAAAATAAATGCTTTTTTGTAACGCCTTGCCCTGGGCTCCGTCTCCCTTCTGTTGCCTTCCAAGAGCAAGCGCCCGCCGGGAATCTGCTGGGCATGGCATGGCTGAAGCAGACAGGATGGGGCATGGAGGGGGGCCGTGCCGCATGCTGGGACGTGGGGATGATTTGTGGGGGCTGTGGCAGGGGCAGCGCACACTGAGCAGGGGCAATGCATGGGGGCCCAGGGTCAATGCACACAGAGCCCCAGGTGCCAGCACTGCTGGAGGCAGCTCGGGCTCAGGTCCCTACAGCCTGATGTCCCTGGGGCCTGGACAGATGCATGTCATCCTGGGACTGAGGGGCTCAGCTCACCTCAGCCCCTCGCTGTTCTGGCACTGAGCACACATAGGAGGCTGGAGGGCCGAGACCTGGCAATGCAGGGGGGCATGCCTGAGACTGCTGGGGCTGCAGTATGGGGGTAGGGCTGGGCTAGAGGATGCCCTGGCCGCCCTGATGCCCTCTGCATCTCTGCCCCTATGTTGTAGCAGCTGGGGGAGTAGGGGGGTGATGAGCAACAGCTGCGGCTCTGCAGGAGGCTCACACTACGCTGGGCTCTGGCCAACTGCCCACATCATCCCGGATCTGGTGACCATGGTCCTGAGAAGCCACGGCGTTTCCCAGGCTGGACCATGATGCCGGTGTAAGATCCCAGGGTTGATAGCAGATGCTCTGGTTTCTGAGGGCGCTTGTGGCCTGGGGAGCTCTGGCCGCGGCTGCCTCCAGGGCACAGTGCAGTGCAATGAACCTGGGGGCAGAGCAGCTCATCCCTCCATCACTCCCGCACTCCATCCCTCTCTCTCTTTCACTCTCTGTTCTGTTCTGCATTGCTGCCTGTAACTCAATGTCTGTTGGGCATGCAATACATTGGCAGTGTCAGTGAGTTGGCCCTGACACATGTGCGCCCCTTGGGCATTACTGTTCTGGTTGGGCCTGCTTTGGGTCTTGTGTCTTACCTTTTGCATGGTCCTGGGCTTGTCCAGCACCGGGCACAGAGGGGTCCCGGTGTCTGGCATGACAGGAAAGCAACTCAGTATGGAATTGGAGACGACGGGTCCAGAGGGGCAATGCACCAGGTCAGCTCATGGGGAGCCAGTAGGATGGGGACCAGGCTCAGCCAAGGTGCCGGCCAACCCATAGTGCTCAGACAAGAGCCATAACTGGACCAGGGGGTACTGAGGCACCGAGACCAACCTGCCCAGTGGTGGAAGCCATGTGTATGCCTGTTCTGCGGGCAGTACGGGGGTACAAGGCATCCTTGGTTCTGGCTTTGCTGGTTGGCTGGGGCAGGGACTGGGGTGCAAGGTCCAGAGACATGCTCCCTGCAGTATCCCAAGCCTAGCAATTCCCTTTCCAGCTCGCTGCAGGGTGATGGGCCAGGGGACCCAGAAGCAGAGGAGCTGGGGGTCTTTTAGGAGAACAGGCTGCAGGAAGCCCCCAAAGGTGCCATGCCAAGCCTGGCTCTCAGCTCCAGAGATGCACTCAGTAGGCATGGAGAGGTCAAACCCCAGTCAGAAACACAGCAGGAGAACCCACCTGCATCATGGGTCGGGCTGTGTCTTTGTGGTGATAGCTCCTGTCCAGGGGGGCAGGGAAGCTCTTGGCTTTTGGCCATGGGAGGAGTCACCACCAACCTCCCGGCAGCCCAGGGTGATGTGCCGCATCTTGGTGTGTGCATTAAGGATTCCCTGCCTTCACAACGGCCAGCGGCCTGTGCATGCTTGGATGAAGCAGGAGGTGGTGATGGAAGGAGGGAGGAGGGCTGATGCCAGAGCTGCCTGTGGTTGGTGCAGGGGGATGGATTGTAGCCATGGGTAGACAAGGTTCTTTGGGTAAATCTGATGTCTTTTACTAGACCTCCTCAAATAGTTATGGTTGATGCATGCATCTCTCATCACATCCCAGCATGGCCGAGCGGATCTGTTCCCTGTGGCCAGGAGGGGGCAGTCCTTATCCTTCATGAGGCCCTTTTGATGCGGAACCGAAGCTGAACTTGACAATTGGGGTCAAGTGCTGCCAAGTTCATGGTCTGTCAATTGGGAAACAGGCCTCAACCCTTCCTCCTTGTTTGTTAGGGACATTAAGTGATCCAGGAAAGCAGGGGACAGGCCAGGATTGCAGGTTCCTGCCTCTGCCC